TCAGAAAATTTGGGACACTACCGAGGTACATGACATTACAGTACAAGTTCTCGTATGTCCTGAGTCTTAATTGACCTTAGAAGGCTAGGGCCAAAATGTTGGCTTTCCTTGTAGCCCTCCTTTTTCTCTAATTTTGGTCTGCAAACTTAGGTTGTTAACCATCCAGAAGACAAGCTTATTGTTATTATCAAACGATTTAGGCTATCAAGCTTAACCTCACTATCTCACTGCATCTCAAACATCCTAGGCATAATAAGGAACAGGTATTTTTCATCAAGTATTGATATGTTGAACTTTAAGTCCCTACATAATATGATAAAAAACATTTAAAAATTAGATTATATTTTAAAAATAGGATAAAGAATTCTATGCTTCTCATGTTTGCACATAAGTCCAAAAATCTCACCATATACATCCTTGAAGCAGGACAGTCCCACAATATTCCTTTTCCTGTCTCTATGCTTTGCACTTTTTATTGGCCCATTTTCTGTTGCTATAATAAAATAGCTGAGACTAGATACTTTGAGGTTTGTTTAGCTCATAGCTGTGAAGGCTGAAGAACTTAGCACCAGCATCTATTCACCTCTAGTAAGGGTCTTTTGGCTACATCGAAACATGGTCCATGCCATACATCTCACATGGTGAGACAAGCCAGAGAGAGCTAGGGGCTAGGATTAATCCTTTCATTTTAACCCATTCTTGTAGCAAACAGTTGGGGTCCAACAAAAACTGGGTCAAGCCCTTCTGAGGGCAGTGTCTTCAGTGACCTTAGTGCCTTCCATTAGGTGCCACCTCTTACAGGTGCCACCACCTCCCAACACATCCTTGGCCTGGGTCTCTAGCATGTGACCCTTTTGGAGAAACACTCAGGCCACCTCCAAGCCATAGCAGCAGGGCTTTAGTGACGTGCATTAGGCCACAAGCTTGCCCAGCGTCCAGGCCCTGTGCGGGCCCCACGGCGCCTGAGCCTGCCTCGTCTGTGGGTGGCTCACCCTGAATGGTCCCTGTGAGACCAGAGCAGCTGCAGTGCTGCTCTCGCTCGGTGGTGCTGGGCGGCCTGCACCTCCCTGGCTGCTCACTTCTTAGACACAAACCACATCCCGTGTATGAAAGCCTGTCGCACGGTCCACACCTGCCACTATGTCTGTGGGAACAGGACACTCCGGCACTGGCTGTTGTGTTTGGGGCGGGGTGGGGGGGGTGGGGGCAGTACTCTGTGCAGACAGCTTGAACTAAATGCGCCTTTGCACAATGCTTGTGATCTACAGGAAGCACACACAGCGCAACAGAAACAGCTTATGTTTGTGTGTTTGCGCTTACATGGTCCTTGCTAAGTGATGCACTGAGGATAGGTTTTAGACTTTAAGATAACTATTATAATATATTTTGAAAAAGTTTTAAAAATTGTATTTAATAACTAGGAGATATATATTTGTGATAATCAACAGGAATTGAGCGCCCTTTGTCCTCTCTTTGCCCTTCGACTTGAGGTGGCCTGGTGCAATCATGGGGGCTAGAGGTGTATGTTGTAAGCCTCAGGCTCCACACTTTTGTCCTGGTCTCTGACTGCACAGGACAAGCTGCCCTCTATTACCTGCCATCGCTCTGACCACTGCTTGATGTCTGTTTGTTAGCCTGGCCCTTCTGAACTCTTAGAGCTGCATGAAGTATGTGCAGTGAACATGGGTGGTACTTCTGTGTGTGTCTTTAGGGTGGGTGCTGCCTACCATACTGTGTGAAAGCCCCTTCAAAAGCACAGAGAAGGGAAATTGCTCACTCACTGCAGAATTGGGAACAACTGAGCCTGTCCTGTGTCTGCGTGAACGGTATAATAGCTGAAGAGCCATGCATGCTTGCTTAGACTGCTGGGGCACAGAGTTGTATTTATCACTCAGCTGGAGCATGTGCATGCAATTTTCTGATGTTGCTTTGTAAATTAACCTGATACCTGACCTCTGCTTTTTGCTACTCTGTTTTCCTCTGTTCCATCTCTCCCTCTCATCGCCTAATTCTGTTTCTTCTTCTTTCTCCCTGCCCGCCCCTTCCATCTCTCCTTTATCTGTCTCACACCTCTTTCTCACTTACACTCCCTATTTGTACTACCTATTTCTATAAAGCCTCTGAAGGAACTTCTGATAAGCTGCAAAGTACTCACCATTAGAGTAATTTTGGCAGAGTCTACTCTCCAGGCAATTTTGAATGAAGGCAAGCCCAAGAGTCAGAGCGAGGTTTTTCTTTAGTTTGTTTCCATTGACCAACACTGCTGCAAAGAATCTCAGCAGATTCCAGTGTTCGCATCACACGGACGCTTCAGTGTTTGAGAAACTGGATGATGACCAACTCCCAAAATGACTCTCTGTAGAAATCCTATTGTTTTATCTTCTGAGAGAATGTTTATTTTTCTCCTTTGTTGTCTGTGTGTCCCAGTGTCCATCAGAAACATCTACAGGACAGATGTTACTGTATAGCAGTTCTATCTCAATAAATCTGACTTTTAAAAACTTACTGGGGGAGCTTGTCACACAGATTCTTGGGCTCCTTGCTCCAAAGACCCTAAATTAATAGGTGTGAAGTGGGGCCCGTGACATTGGCTTTCTGGCATGCTCTGCAAGAGGAAGTCGGTGGTCAGTACGCAGACTGCTCTTGGAGGAGCTGGGCTCCGAGTGCTGACAAAGGTGGTCTTTAGCGCTTTGCGGTTGTTCAACACATTCACAGTGGGGCTGTAACTCATATATCTTGCTGCCAGGCAGATTGAACCACCAGCAGTACATGGATGACTGTCCCATAGGGCAGTTTTTAAAATTAGTTTTATTAGTAAAAGACTGATAGAAGTAATTAAAGCCATTTGGGTTTGTGTGTGTGTGTGTGTGTGTGTGTGTGTAACCAGGGATTGAACTCAGGCCCTTGCGCTTGCCAAGGAAGCGCTTATTCCACTGAGCCATCTCCCCGGCCACAATCCATGTGTTCCACCGATGGTATAAGCTACCTGATGGCACAGTCATGAATGCAGCACCAGTGGCCGAACCCAGTGGAAACATGTTAAATACCCTTTGAGCTTATCAAAAGCCTTTTTGAACATGTATATCAGATTAGATCTGCTAGTTTCTGGCTCTTTCACCTCCCAGCATTTATCTGCCCCTTGACCATCTCCATGAACACAGAGAAACCAATGATGTGAACCACAGCGAGCTTTCCTGCCTCTGGTTAGCTTCCACAGCATCCACTATGGAGAGAAAATAGGGTTGTTCCTCTGCCCCTGCCCCAAGCCTTGTGATCGTGGTGAGCCACGGGCACTGGGCCCCAGCAGTGCAGAAGCTGCTGCTCCACAGGATCCTGCAGCAGAAGCCTGGGGGTGACAACACCACCCGGCTCCAGGCTTTGTTGCTTATGCTCACATGGGAGAGTAACTGTCACTAATAGCTAAAGGGGACATTCTGACCTTTGGTTACACTTCCCTGAACTTGGAGGAAGAAAGAGTGAATTACCGTAGGGCTTTTATGCAGGGGCAGGAGATTCACATTTTAGGATTATAAATGAGGCTACTAGGAGCCAACAGCTGAGTGGTTTCTACCAGTTTTGTAGCGTGTAGATTGTAAGCATGACCCCAGTAAACCTCGGAGCCACCCATGGGGTAGGTAGTCACCCCCTCTAGTCTTGCAGATTCAAAAGCCAGTCGAAGCCAAGCACTTCATGTCCGGGTGGCAGAGACAGGAGTCAAATCCAGGCCCCTCTGACTCCAAAGCATGGGCTTTTCTCCACCACACATGCTCTTGCCTTCCACATCAAGGGTTCTATCATTTTTTTAGCCTCTGCTTTTTCTACTCAAATGACAAAATTTCTAAAATTATGATACTTCTAGGAGGAACTCGTAAATAGAAAGACAGCACCTTAGTAAAACTATCACTGATAGTCTAAAACTTCACAATAGGAAATGATATTCCCTGAGTGTACAAGAGCTCCAGGAATATTTCTTTTCCAAACACTAAGGTGTAAAAGACTCATTCCACAATTTCCCGTAACAAAAGCATGAGTAGCTATGAGCAGAGAAGCAATGGAAGCCACATCTTCCATGCCAAGGTGCAAGAGATCCCCGTACGCCTCGGGGCTTACTTAGACAGAATAAGGCTGTGACACAGGGCAAGATAAGCCAAAGGGCACAGCAGAGTGAATGTGACACAACCCCTGAAGTGGGTAGCTGTTTCTACTCCTCTCTGAAAACAGAGAAGGATGCCCCTGAAAGGTTCAGTGGCCCCACCTCAGCCTGTGAGCCTCGTGGCAGTAGGGCTTGGAGGAGGACCTAGCTCTGCCCCTTCCTGGCTTCTCCAGCAAGACTGTGCTGCTCTCAGGGGGATTCCTTTGCTTTAAGTAACCTTGGTAGCCTCAGTCCTAGATCTAGCACTGAGAGAAGCCCTGCTTCTGGGTTGGGATGTGCCCTTCCCACATTTCCTCAGCTCAAAATCTCATTTGCTTTTTGCTAGTTGAATCACACTCTGCAACACCACTTTGGAGACCCACTAATTTCACTTACCATGTATTGTGAACATATTTTACATCACTGACTATTTGACCCCTCCATCAATTTACTGATTGTAGACTCCCTTGTACCATTCTGGTGTTTTACTTTGAAAATGGATTTTCTTGAAGTCTATCTTTAAAAAAAAAAAGAAAAGAAAAGAACCCCTATCACTTTGCAAAAGTGAAATCAGGTAGCTCTTGGGTTAAAACAATAAAATTACTCTGGTATCTTTTGGATTACACAAAATCCTTTGAGAGAACTGTTTTGTTGTCTGGAAGAAAAAAAAAAAAAAAAAAAAAAAACATGATGGAAGTATGGTGTCCTGCACTGAAATTAGTGCAGAAGTGAGAGTTTCTAAGAGGTTGTCCAATGGAGACACAAAGGCTCAGCCATCAGGGCTCCGCCCTCCATGGTACTGGGGACACATGGGGCAGCCATGCCTGTATCAACCTGTATCTGATCCCAGTGTTTCTTCTCTCCCCAGCAGAACCACCCGTGGCCGCAGCAGTGGTATCACATTTTAACGACTGTCCAGATTCCCACACTCAGTTTTGCTTCCATGGAACCTGCAGGTTTTTGGTGCAGGAGGACAAGCCAGCATGTGTGTAAGTATCCCTTAGTGCCCTGTACTAATGGGCTGGGGATTATTCAGCACCTGATTCAAAAGGCATTTGAGTATAATTCACTATTTAGAGTTCTTAGAGGGCAAGGCACTGGCTGGGTACCTTTGAAGAACCAAGTGTCTTACAGGAGGTCTCTCCATTCCAGCATGGAGTCCACGCAAGTACGTGCAAGGTATTCACATATGTAAGTGATCCCAGAGCAAGGCACAATGCATACATAGAGGCGCATGCCCTACATGACGGCTTCCATGCCTGGTTGAGCCCGTGGTCAGCCAGCGTGGGAAGAAAGGCCTTCAAGGAAAGCTTCCCGAGCAGGTGACAGGTTTGATGAGTGTGGCAAGCCAGAGGCTTGTTCCAAACCTGGAGTGCCAGGATGGGTAGAGTGGCTGCTACATGTCAGGCTGTTACAACTGGGAGACAGAAGGAGACAAGGTTGGAGGCCAGAGGCTGTCAGAGATAAGCCTTTACCTTCCTAGCACTGAATGCTACACGTTTTGGAAAGAGATGTTTTAAGACCATCTATGCATAATTGAATGCTATTAGGCAGACCTATCCTCCACCTTGACACTGTGGATATTTGGAGCTAGAGGGCTCTTTGATTGGGGGCTGATCTGTGCACTGAAGCATGTTAGCTATTCTCTACCCACCACATGCCAGTGTCACCATCTCTTCAGTTGTAATAGTTAAAACTGTCAGTCCCCAGTTAACAAGCAGTGATCATATGAAATTGTCATTCTTACAGGTCAAAAGTCCGTAAGGTTACATAGCCTAACCTAAAAGTACCACAAACAATACTGTCAATAAAAACTGTTATTTATGGAGCTTTTGCTTTATGCCAGGCACTATTTGAAGCATACTTTGTGTGTTAACTCATTTAATCCTCATTATGAGTTCATGAGTTAGGCACAGAGAGCTTGGGCTGTGACCAGGTCACAGAGCAGAGCTTAGACTCTGGCTCCTGACGCTGAGCTCTTAAGCATGAGAGTTAAGATGCCCTAGCTCAGGAGGGACCAGGACTGCCTGCTGGGGCCAGCAGTGGGGCTGGGGGACTTTCCTTGTCCTGAGGCATGGCTGGGTATCTCTGAGCATCACCTGAGAGGAAAAAGGGAGGCATGCTGGCCACCTTCCTCGTGGGAATGTCCGCAGCTCTAAGGACTTCCCCAAGGAAGAGCCCTCCCACCCACTCCAGTAACACAAAGCACAGTGATGCTGATGATAGTAGACACTTTCATTATTCATGATTATCATGCTTATTAAAATGCACATTAGAGGCCTCTGGGGGACTGATGAGATTGTTTTTATTAGTACTCGGGTCGTTGTGGAAAAACACTGGTCCTGAAGGGGAGTTTGGCCTCTCACTCCACATAGCTGAAAGCCTCCCTGGACACCAGAAAGAAGGCTCTCTTCCTGCCAGCAGGGAGCTGAGAGTCCAGCACAGTCCCCATTGTGCACTGGGCTATGTGTTGGAAGACTTTCCTGGGGTTTTTTTTCCATGAGGTCAGGTGCTAGTGTAAACCTCCAGCAGGCTGGTGGCCTGTAGCTGCAGCCATCAGACCAGCAAAGCAATGATTGTTCATTGGCCACCAGAAGCTTCTGAGGCCAGGAGTGAGCAACTAATCTTCTGACCCTCCTAGTCTGGGCCCAAAGAAGATAACTGTCCATCAAAGTCATATACCATGACATCTTGGAAGTCAGGATGATCAGCCGGCTCTCTCCCCAGTTATAACTATTTCCATTAGTAAGAATCGTAATCTCTCAATAAAGGCCACAGCTTATGCCAGGCATGGTCCCCGCACTCCCCAGTCTCTCAAGGAATCCTTGTGACTTCCTTTTCCAGCAGGGATTATCACCCTCATTGTAGAAGTGAAAAAATTGACTCAGAGAAAGTAAGAAGTTTGCTCAGAGTCCCAAAACTAGAAAGTGGCAAAGGTGAGATTCAGTCCCATAATTCCACCCCCAAAACCCACACTCTCACCTACTGTCCAAAGGGTACCCTGCTTCAGTTCTCAGAATTCACCTCAAATCACTAAGCTCATTTTTCCCAAGGAAGATGTTGGGGTCGTTCCCCTTGCATATAAAACTTCCTCCAGAGAAAGATTAGGGTCATTCCCAAGTCAGGCCCCTGGCCACAGGCTCTTAACAGCTCCTTCCTATGGGCCAAGTGCACAGAATGAGAGACAGTGAAGACACCCTGACAGCCTGGGAAGAGCTGATCATTGGGGAAGGCATGACAGTGCAAACACTTACTGCCTCTTTACCTCAGTCCTCCTGCTGCATCTTGGCAGGCCAGGGAAAGCATTCAACCCACAGATAATGGTGTATGTAGCAGTACGTGATGCTCCATACTGTACTTCAGTGGCTTTAATTCGTTGTCAGCATTTCAGAAGTCCAGTCCCATGTATCCCTGCAGAATAAACAGAAGAATGACAGCACTGGCTGGGACTCAGGTGTGCCCACCACCTCCACAGATAGGCTTGCCCTCTCCTGCTCTCTGGTCCCCACCTCTCTCCAATACACTCCAACACCACAGCAGAATGCTGGTCCCCAGCATCTGCTTAGCATAACCACCAGGCTGCCAGTTACCTCTAAGAGCAACGAGTATTCAGCCTCAAGTCAAGATTCTCTGAAGGCCCTCCTGGCTCTGACACATGGCATGATGGGGGCAGAGGACATACCATCCCACCTGCTTAGTGCTCTAAGGCTGCACAGCCCAGCAAGCCAGCCCTTAGCTCTGGTGCAGGGTTCCATTTGTCCCACCCCACCCCCTTGCTGGCTCCTAAGCTCAGGAAGACAGGACCACACCTATACCTTCTTATATTTACAGTAACTAGAAGAATGTTCTAATTAATTCCCACTAGACCAGAACCTGTATGCAGAGAAAACCAGAACATTCTGTCCCTGCTCTTAAGAACCACCCAAGCTTTGGGAAGCTGACACATACAATGCTCTAGTCAATAAAACTGACATACCTTGAGGTACAGTGCCATCTGTCACAACCTGATAAAGAACTCAGAGTGGGCCAAGATCATGGCCTTGAAAGAGAGCTCTCTTTCTAAAATACTGCCATTTTAGAGTCTCTTCCGCAAGAATGATCTTTAGATCTCCAGAAGACTTCAAATGACATTGTGTACGATAAAGTGGGGAACAGCAATAAAAGTTAAAACAAATAACTAGCTAATAAAAATCATCCCCAAACATTTATGCTTCAGATGAGCCCTGGATTGTCCATCTGCACATTTATGGCTGCCTCTACTAAGTCTCCACTCGAATCCAGTCATTATCAGAAAACAGATGGGAAGAGAATGTGCCGAGACAGTAAGGCTATAGAAGTGTGATGAGGCTGGGACACCAGTTCTCCCTGAGGCAGATTCCTCAAACTGTTGGTCTACTGCATGCAGAAGCCTTCAAACAAAGGAAAACAGTCAGAGCAAGCCACCAGGTGACAAGTTGTAAGGGTTCTCATGTCGGCAACCAGAGACAACTAGTTTGAAGTTTCCCACCTGTCCAGAGCGCTCCCCAGTGTCTGAGCTCCCTGACAACTTTCCCACAGCAAAGTGTGAAAACATGTTGCCATCAGCCAAGTAAAACATTCCACATGGCCCTGGCCACAGTACATTCCAGTAGAATCTGAACAGAGAAGATGCAGCTACCATCAATGACAAGCAGGTGCCCTGTGACCGAGACTCACCTGGGGGGTTTTGGAAGGATGAGTTCCTAGGGACACAGGAGCCACTGTATATGGATCTGCTTTCATCTTGACAACCAGCTGGCGGGAAGGAGGGGGCGATTGCTATGGCATCACTCAGAGCTGCAGGTCTGGAGAAAGTGTGTGTCCTTATCCTGGGCCTGCCTATGTCTAAAGTAGCTAGGGTCACCAGGAAGGATGATGCAGTTAAAGACAGGGATTTGAAGGCCAGACCTGGGCTAAAAGCCAGGTAGGTCTCTTATATAAATGACTTAGCCCCATTAAGCTTCAATTTCTTTGTATACAAAATGGGAGTGCTAACACTTTATGGGCTTGTAATAAGGACTCAGGGACAATAAGCATAGAAAGCAATTGCTGTCTGGGACAAGAGCCATTAGACATGTGGGACTGTTTATATTGTTTTAATTAATTAAGATTTAGTTTCTTAGTCACACTGGCCACGTTTTAAGCACCCAGCACCATCGCATGGCTGGTGGCTCAGGTATAGACTGTTCCTGTCACCATCGCTGAAAGCACTAGGAGATGACACTAGAGAACCTCCAAGCTCAGGTCCCCTGACAGTGTAAGAGCAGATGTTTGGTACTGCAGCTGCCATGGGCACGATCTCCAGCATATCAGCACCACTGTCCCCATGACTCAGGGAGAGCAGCAGGTCCTGCTGAGGGCAGTAGGTCCTGCAATCCTTGGCCCAGAACTGCAAAGGAAGCTACAGCCTGGAGAGATGGTCACATTGGGTGAATGAAGCTCTCGAGAGGCAAGGGCTGGCCAGCCCCGCACACCTGCCCTTGTACCAACTACGCCCCCTCCTGCCCTGGCTCTATGGGATTGTTCCATGTTAAAAGCAAGTCAGTATAAAGCTTGTCTTTAAAACGGATATTGGATTTTTATTATCTCTAAATTTAATCTTATCTGTAAAAAATTTCAAAAACTATTTCAAACTTAGTCTTGGCCCTTTGCACTTTATCTTGGAACCTATGCCAAGAAACTTGGCTAGTAATCAGGTACTCTCTCCAGCCTAGGATACCCCACTGCAACTAGAGATAACATTTCCCGAGCACTAAGAATACCCCCATCCTTTTCTCTACATTTTAGCACTGATGTAGCCCTTCTTTGTGTCAGGCCCTGACTTACTGCTCTGTGGAAGATACTCATGTGATGCTGCTAACTCTAAGAGGTAGGGCTTATCATCATGCACTTTAAAGATGCCGAATCTGTGGCACAGAGAAGTTAAGGAACAATGACAGTTTGGCTGCAGAGTCGGTGCCATGTGGAGCCTACCTTGGGATTCTGTCACTGGGACATCATCTCAAACACAAAGACATATGTATGCAATTATGACCTGGCATTACTTACAACACAACTGGTTATGGCCTAAATGTTTGATAGAGCAACTGCAGTATGTAAGTTACTGTGCAACTGCTTAAAGTGAGTTTTGCAGAATTTTCATAGGCTAGTAAAACAGCGTAGAGAGCTTATATGAGAAATTGATGCAAAGCTGTAAAAATAACTGTATAGAAACTATATAGCTGGGGAGATGGCTCAGTGGAATAAGCACTTGCCTGGCAAGCGCAAGGGCCTGAGTTCAGTCCCCAGTTCCACAAAAAAAAATCAAAACCAACCTGCACTACATAGTGAGGCCCTATCTCAAAAAAGAAAAAAAAAAGGGAAACTATATAGAAATAGTATATAAGAGAAAGTGTATTTGGCCTTCCACTTGGGGTTGGGGTGCAATGATTTGAGCTTTCTTTTTTTTTTTTTTTCTTTCTGACCCATATATTTTCCAATTTTCCCAGAAACATTCATTTGCTAGTTGGGGAAAATTAGTCTTAAGAAAAAATAAAAGTTCAGAACACAGCTCTACATACATTACTATATTTCTCAGCATTTGAAAAGGGTACCAGGAACCAAGTGAAGTGGAGAAGACCCAAAAGCTCTCAATGAAAGAGAAAGGTTCTCACAGGCAGCTGAGTTGTTACATTAAAATTGGCCCACAGCTGCAGTTTTGCACCTAAGAATAGCACCAGCAACCTTTAAGCTTAATCAGCGACAAAAGTGAAAAACCCCTGGAGCCCCTGGCTGAAGCACTTGCCTGTTAGCCCCAGCCTCCACGGGTCCTTTTGCAGCTCCCGACCCCTCCTCAGCTATGCTCTTTCTTCTCTTCCTCTTGCACTTGTTCCTTTTTCTTCTTATTGTGGGGCATCAGCCTGACTGTGGTTCTGGAGCCACAGTTTCTGAATTACAAAGATAAGACAGCGTTGCAGACCCTTATGTTAGACACATGGCTGTCGCTGGCTCCCCAAGCTCACTCTAGACACAAAACGGAATGGTCAAGTGATACATGAAAGTGTTCAGAAACAAAGCTCCCATTCCTCTTTGTACAGTAACTGCTGTTTGTTCAGATTCCTTCCTTAAATTGAAGGGGAGCAACAGCTACCATTTCTCTAGCGTCTGATGTACAGGCCCTGTTTTATAGCCTCCACCCTGGGAAACTATTGAGATGAGGGAGGAGAAAGAGGACCTGGCAGATGTGGGGCTTGTTGGCTCTTGGTTCTGTGCACGTGCATGGCAGTCCTAGCCCATGGCTCTCAGGCTGGCTGCCAGCACAAGGCACCTGGTGCCCACACCAATCAGATAAGCATAGGCAGGGGCGTGGCCTTGGCTCTGGCTGTTTCCAGAGCTTCCTGGGTGATTTCAGTGTGCAGCTGGGTAGGAACCAGTACCTGGCTGAGGTAAGGGAGAGGACAGCACCCAAGTCACATGTGACTCATGTGTAGCCAGGTAAGGTGTCTCCTCCTCCTTCTCCTCCTCTTCCTCCTTCTCCTCATCTTCTTTTTCCTCCTCCTTCTCCTCTTCTTTCTTCTTTCTTCTTTATCCTTTTTCCTTTCTCCACCTTCTCCTTCTCCTCCTTCTCCTTCTTTGGGTGACTTGTGCCTAGAATAATCAACATCATTAAAGCTGATGTTAATAGAAGCTTGGGTGTTTTTTTTTAAGAAAGGATATCACCAAACCCTTTTCTTCCCTCCCCATAACGGGCAACTAAGAAGCAGGATATTGGGTAGAATCAGACCATGCCCTGCAAGAAGAAGCAAGGACAATGGGAAGAGAGGGGACAAATATGGTCATGTGGGGACTCAAAGGGGACAGGGAAAGTCATTGAAGGAGCTATGGGAAAATACATGGATGGGTGACTGGACAAAGAAATGAGTATGTATAATGTGTATCTTTGGAGAATGTGGTCTTCGAAGAGGAGTCTGAGGAGGACAGTAAGGCAGAGAAGGCACGAACTGAGAGCTGGCAGGGGCGGTCAGCCCCTCATTCATTCTGCAGTGTTTCCTGAGTGCCTGTGTGCCTGGCACTGTCTAGGCAGCACGTGGGTTTCATACTGGGCTTGTGGGGTGTGGTGTGACATAACTCTGTGGAGGATAAAGCAGAGATGGCAGATGAGGACCCTGCAGGGAGACTGTGTCATAGAGAAGAAACCAGACACCAAGCTGGAAGGCAGAGGGTAGTCTGTGTGGAGTAAAACCCCGGGGACAGGCGGGAGGAGGACACTCTGCCCAGTATTCTTTAGACACTAACAGCTCAGATGTCTGCATGCCTCAGGCAGTTGGTAATCACCTCCCTGCCTTGAGTCAGGTCTGCTCTCACTTTCCCCTGAGAGGGCAAGAGCCAGTGCCAACTGGATGAGCTTTTTCTCTGCTCCTGCCTTTGAGTAGTTTTAATAAAACCAAACCAAACAACACAAATGAGGCACGCACACCTGTAATGCTAGCTACAGTAGGAAGATTACAAATATGCGACCAGCTTGGGCAACTTAGACCTTGTATCAGAATTTAAAAATTAAAAGAGAAAAGGACTGGACAGCAGCTGGTCACTCCCTGGATCCAGTCCCCACAGCTGTGGGGCAAATAGACGATACACCAGCCCCCTCTTATCACCCTGAGCTGTGAGAGTGAGTCAGTGTTACTCAGATTTGGGTGATCTTAATTCTTCCTCAGGAGAAGACTTCTACTAGATACCCCATACCTCCCCCCATACCTCCCTTTGGTCCTACATGGTTCAGGCCTTGTTCTCCACACCCCATTCTGTAGAGAATCGCATGGGGCGTTTTCTACCCCTCTTGAACCCTCTCCACTTGCTTCCTTACCAAACCTACAGCCCGTACGTACCTTGCTCAGTTAAAACTCAAATGCCTTTGCCCTTCAAGATTAGAGACTAAACCAAAAGCCAGATTTGCTAAGAGTTTACTCTGTAAGCTCCCATCTGTCTTGATCTGCCACGTGGCCATGGATGCCTGGTGAGTGGGAGCGAGCCCAGACTCAGCAGGCCTGGTACAAACCCTTTGGAGTCCTGGAAGGGCAGGGGCCAGGCAGGCAGTGATTGATGTTTTCATGCAACAACTAAGAAAACAAATATATAAGCTTTAACCAAAAACAAGTGTCTGAATTTAAAATAACAACTACTCGGTGGTCCAGGATCAGTAATAACGCAACTATGGTGGCCCTGAGGCCACAGGGCACAATGGCAGGTGTCTTTAGACTGTTAATGGCCTTTTAGTTTTCCTTGTTCATAGAGGTCTTTTAATCAGTAAGTGAAGTTATAGTTGGCTAATCAAAAGGTAGATTCCTTAAAGAGAAAAGTTAAGCTATCATTGCCATATGGAAGAGGCAGAACCTCAGATCCAGCCCAAGATGTGGGCCTGCCCCTCAAGGAAGTAAGTCCTCAAACATGGCAATCAGGTATTTTCAGTAACAATGAAAACGGACTAATGTGTAAGTCATTTTCCTTCTGTGTGCTGGGGGGAAGCTTCTCGTAGAAGGGGACGCCCAGCATCTCATCATGGCTGGGACGCACCCTGGAGAACCGGCAGGTGGGACATCACTGTGCGTGGCAGAAGGCTGTACTGTGGTGAGCAAAACAAGAGACACTCGGAGCAGCATCGTTGCCTTTTGTCGCTGATGCATGCACCGGCACACGTCGGCTGCACACACATACATGTGCCTTCTTAGCGCTGCAGTGGAGGGGGACCAGGTATTGGTGAATGTGAGGACGCCAAGATTCCAGTCCTAAGCAACAAGGTGGTGATGCTGGGCTCACTATCCGTTGTCCCCCACCCAGCTGCACCCTGCCTGGGATATTCCCTGTGTACTTGGATACTTGCAGGACTAATTAAACTTGATGAGGAACGTAAAAAGAAAAAAGAAAAAAACTAAGCACATCCTATGCCTTCAACTCATTTAGCACGCTTACTCTCTCTCATCAGAATTTCTCAGTATACTGCATTGGGTTTGAAAATAACCTGGATCTTTATGAACTGCCAAAATGAAGTTCTTGTCATAAACACTTTTTCTGCCTTTATTTTCTCCCGCAGCTGCCATTCTGGGTACGTCGGTGCCCGCTGTGAGCACGCAGACCTCCTGGCCGTGGTGGCCGCCAGTCAGAAGAAGCAGGCCATCACTGCCCTGGTGGTGGTCTCCATCGTGGCCCTGGCTGTCCTCATCATTACATGTGTGCTGATACAGTGAGTATTTGCTGCCTCTCGGGTCCCAGCAGGGACGTCTGCGGCAGGGCCTCATACCAGGGCCGCCCCAGTGCGGCTGATCGCTGTCAAGTCTGAGTGGTGTTGGCAAAGCTAAAGGAGCTTGGGTGCCTCTTGCACGGGGTGGCAGCCAAGCTGTGGCAAGGTCTGGAGCATCCCGGACAGGTCCCAGCAGTGGGTCTGTGCACTGCTAGAAGCCAGCGTCAATCCAAAGGCACACTCCATCTCCACAGAAACGGTGATGAAGCAGAGCGGCGCTCCAGACAGAACTGGAAACAGCGCCAGCCTCTTGTGGACAATAGCAGAAGTACTTTTTTTCTACAGCAGGAATTTTGTAAATTCTTAAGTCACATCAAAGGCCACTGCTAATATTATTATGGGCTGACAAGCACCACTCTGCATGGATTTTCTTTCTCTGCCATTCCACCTCTCTTTCTCCTCCAAAGTCCAGCTTCTGTGTTGTATCCTCCAGGAAGCTGTTCAGAGCCTCAGACCAAGATCACCTTCCAGGAGTTTCTTAGCCCATTTCCATCCTAGCCCATATCTATTAATGTTCTGCTGTGTCAGAGACTCTGGGAATAGTGTTGTATTCCTGGCACCTGGCACCAGGCCAGATTTATTACCTGGAAATATCTAGAGTCCAAGTCACAGGGCAAACTACCAGGGGATTTGTACCCCTAGGACAAGCACAAGGCATCCACAGGTCAGCTCGGTGCAGGTTGACTCACAGTAGGGACGTAAGTGGATGGCTGGAGTAAGCAGTTTTATGCTAACACCAGAAGCCAGGCTTTAGCCCATTGGAGCTGTCCAGGTTCACACAGACTCCTGTTGGTTTGCTGGTCCATGTCATTGGGACATCTAAGGCACATGCCCCTGCTGCTTGTCAAAAAAAAAAAAAGAGAGAGAGAGAGAGAGAGAAAAGAAAAGAAAAGAAAAGAAAAGAAAAGAAAAGAAAAGAAAAGATGAAGAGCCACAACTTCTACCTCCTCCTCCAGGACCAAGCCAGCACTAAGTGGGAAAGGAGGGGGCTGAGCAAGGCCGAGTTCTTCTTCCTCCCTGAATTCCACTCCACTTGCTTGTATCTTGGGAAACCATGTTTGCAGAAATAGAAAAGCAGTGTTGGCTCAGGTAGGGCACAGTCTGGGCTCTGCCCCTCACAGAGACCTTCCCTAAGAGTGGAAGCCACTTAGCAGGCCACTGGTCTCACTCACCAGGGCTAACTAACTGGTTGTGCTCACCTGGCACTTCTGTAGCTCTATTGCCATAGCCAAAGGGTCCCAGATCCTTAAGAACAAGGCTGGAGGCCCACTTGGACCTCCTTAAAGGGACTGGAAAGCTAACTTCTTCAGGAACAATCCAGGTCCTTGGATAGCATCTCTTACTCCCTGGGAGGCAGTCTGAGGACCTCTCCTCTGTCTCCTCCCAGCCTGTCCTTGCCGGAGTCAAAGCCTTTTTAGGCTGCTAGTTGCTAGGCATGCGGCCCTGCTGAGTTGTACAGTCTAAGGTGGCACCAGTGATCTGGTGCTGGAGGGATCTAGAAGCCTTGATTCCAATGTCCTGGAATACTCATGGCTGGGAAGTGACCAAGGCATGCCAGCCTAGCTAGTGGATATGAGAAAGTGTCATTGATAGGTCAGGAATTAAGAACTTTAAATTCTGGTGTGAGATAAGCTGATCCCAGCCCAGACTGTGTCAGTTAGGAAGACCCACGTCCTAGCAGACCAACAACGTTAGCCTCTCATTTTCTACCTATGAGTGGGGAAGGTGAGGCAAGAAGAACTTTTTAAACTTCCTGTGCAAGACAGGGTGGAAAAAGGGGGGCAGGGGCTAGGGTAGAGACCGTGAAAGGCTACCTAGCACCGAGAGGCACAGCCCCTAGCTTTTTGTTTCCTCCTCTGTCTTTGGGGTCGTGTCAGCTGCAAAGCTTCTCCCAACCCCTGCCTATGGCTGCATAGATTGCACATGTGTTAAGGTTTGAATGCGTGGGAATGAAGCCTTTCCTGATTTCAGCTGCTGTTGTCTCTACACGGCAAATGTTTCTCTGTTCTTTTGAGTTCTGTGGTTGGTTTTTCTAACTGAAAGCTGCTCATTGCTGCCTGCAGAGGGACGTAGGAGTCCTCTTAACTCTGTCACTTCCCAACTCTGAGTAATGTAAGACTATAGAGAGAGGGGATTTCCAAAGCTCAGTTCAGTTCTCAAAGGAGGACTCAAAGCCCTTGTTTGTGAATCAAGTCAGCACCTCCGTGTTTCCTGCTCTGCTTCAGGCTGGTACCTGCTGAATGGACTCTTGGTTCCCCACAGCCCTACCAAGAAGGGGGAGCTGCTTAGTAATTGTTGCAAGGCCATTCCTTTATTTGTAGTTTATGAACTGGTTCTTTAGAAAGATAGGTGGATAAATGACCAGTCCCCCTGGCAGCCAGGGAAGTAGGAGCCAGGTGACCTAGTAGCTCTAGAGCAGAAATGGTTCTGCTATGTTGGGACAGCCAACAGGTACTATTGTTGGTGGCCAGAATCTGCCCCCAGAGAGCCACTGCTGTTTAGCTCCAAACCTCAGAGGCCCCTGTGGAAAGGCTGCTTGGGAGACCAGAGATGCCCAGCCAGGCTTCCTACCAGGCTCTCCTGCCACACTCCAGCTCAGAAGCTCTTCTCTGGCTCTTTGCAGCTGCTGCCAGGTCCGAAAACACTGTGAGTGGTGCCGCGCTCTCGTCTGCAGGCATGAGAAGCCCAGCGCCCTCCTGAAGGGAAGAACCTCCTGCTGCCACTCAGAAACAGGTAAAGGGTGACTTCAAGGGTAAAGAGCCTTTTCTTTCTTAGAAGGTACTACCAGGTAGAGAAATTGAGTCCCTCCTCCAAGACAGGGCCCAAGTTCCAGGACAGTGAGGCCAGGAGGAGGAAAGGAGAGGCTGTTTTACTCTACCAGCTCAGGTTTGGTTCATACTAAGTATGTTTGACCTAGAAGGGAGCTCTTTTATCCTTGCTGGTGACTGTGTGAGCTTTGACATGTCATTTAACATCATACTGTCTCAGTTTTCTTTTTGAAAGATTGTGTTCAAGTTAGGAGAGCACTGACATAGCACACGTCGTGCAGTGCCGGTGAACGTTGTAGAGCTTTCGGTGATAAACAGCCCACTGCAGCACACGTACCACAAGTGTGCCCCCCCCCCCCGGCTTAGTGTGTCCCAGATGGTAGACACATAACAGATATTCACTGTCTGTCCTCCTTTCCTTTGATGAGTGGAAGAGTTTGGCCTACAAAAGGTCTCTAAGAACCCTCCAAGCTTTTAGATCCCATGATTTCCCTTAAATTTAACATTGTTTTTATGAATTTTACCAGTGTCCAAGAAGAAGATGGACATCTGGATATGGGTCCAAATGGCAGCTTCAAAATCACTGGCTTTTGGGCCCTGGCATGGAATAATTCCTGCATCTAAACAGATCCTGAAAAATCTTGGCCACATCAACAAGCTATCCTGGGATATACTTTTGCCCAGTAGAACCCATTATAACCTAAAACTTCCTTTTGAGGAAGTACAGAACCAGGAGACAGTCACCAAAGGCTGATCTACCTGGGCTGTCCTTCCCTAGCAGGTGGCTTTCTGGGCGCTTAGGGTTGCTCAGAAAGGGTAGAGAGAAATAGGCCTGGGAGTCTGACGCTCCTGCATTCATTATCATAATAATCTGACTTGTAAGAAGAGCATGGAGCAAGGTACTTCAAATCTTGCAAGAAAACAAATTCCAACCCAGACTGAGTCTATCCTGCAAAACTCTCTTTCAAATATAATGGAGAAGTGAAATATTTCCATGACAAAGAACAACTAAAGAATTTCATGATGACAAAGCCAAGCCTACACAGACTACTAAATGATGTTCTAGAGAGGGGGCAAATTGACCACAGCCCCATGAATGAGAATGGAAAGAACCCGCCAAATAGGGCAAACAATTAAACAGAGGAGAATAAGA